CCCCAAAACCCCAAAACCCCAAAACCCCAAAACCCCAAAACCCCGAGAGGTCTTCAGATATTGGCAAAATATAAGCGTTATGGACTCATACATTCTACTTCAATGGACACTCTCCGGTTTCGATTGTCCATAGATCCCCCTCTGCTGTTAAACTGTGCTACTAAAGAGCGGTTTCTGTCTCTTAACTGGCCCTTTTTAAGCAAAGATCTTCTTAAGGAAGCAGAGAGCTTCGGCTTACCAGATATCGAATAATTCTTCTTATTTCTAAACGGGATCCCTTCAGCCATCTTTTCAAAGAGTCTATTCTTTGAATTATCTTTACTCTTCTGTGAAAGATTTGATCCCTGCAGCCAAGAAGTGTTTGTTTTGCCCAAATCTTTGTAATAACCTCCTCTATCAGAGAACTTGTTGATGCTGTATCGGATTTTTGGCTTTTGGGATTCCTCAAATAAGACCTTCTTTGCTAACAAAGACTTAATCGAGCTAAAACTTAGTAATAAAGTTACGCCCGAGTAATGTTGGCGACCTTCTTGAGACTAAACTTCCTCTCTTCGTTGACTATTTTTATGTTAAGATGATGTTTCATTTTTAAATTGGTCAATCTAGTTTTCCAGCATAGATGTTAGTAAATTTAATCACCAGGTGAAGTAACTTTTAAACGTTATTATGCAGTGTGTTTACCTTCATGAAGTGTAGCATGCCTTTTGGCAAACAATTCCTTTCCCCTCTGAGTTCTATTTCCGTATGGCTGAAAATTTTTGAGCATGAAATTTGGGAGGGTTCATCATAATAGAATTCCTCTGAATAAATTTATTTATTAATAGCTGCCTCAGCTTTAAAATCAATATTAGCTTTATGAACCTCTGCTATCTTTTGCTGGAAACTTCTCTTAGGCTGATAGCCTGTCTCTTTACACTTACGATACGCATTGATCAAGTCTGTGTATATTTGTGGCTTTTCTACAACTACAATGTCCTTGTCTTTCAACAAAGCTAAAATATTAGACCTAGATTTTACTCCTAGTCCTGACTAACTCTTTGACAGTTTCTTCCTTATCTCTGACTTGTTTGAATGGGTCTATATGCTCATCTTCGCTTCCAGAATCATTCATTAGGGCTGTTTTTAGAGAAGTCTGGTTCATTCTTCGAATCCCAATCTTTTTCAATGCATTGAAGTCTTCAGGCTTAAGGTCATCTAATTTGTATGCTCTTAGAGCAGTATCTTCAAAGTCTTCATAGAATTGAGTATTCATGCCTCTTAGGATTCTTCGAAAGATATTAGGATCTTCATTTAGGATAAAGTTAGTAATCTTGTTCCAAGCTGTCTTCTCTCTTTTCGGTTTGTACCTGTATCGTTTTCTTTCTTTACTAAAGAATAGTTTCTGAAAGTACCTTTCATTTGAAGTATCTGAGCTTTTATGTGAAGTTTCAGAATCTTCACTACTGAATGTCATTCCTTTGTTCTCAAGATAAATTGCAGCAAGATCTTTCTCAAACATAATTTCTTTGACAGTCTTCATTTTCTGTTTGCCAAGTATTTTCCTCCTTGTATATTCCCCTTCTAAAATAATTTAATTCCAAACTAAATCACCTATTTCTTACTTTTTGATGCCTTGCTCTTCAAATTTTGAATACTAAAGCATAATAACCCCATTTTCCCCTAAAATCTCTCTACCCCCTATTTCCCTATACCTCCTTAAAACTCCCTACCCCTCTCTCCTACCTCTGCCACCCTCTCCGACCCCCCAAACCTCCTTCTTAAACCACCCAATTTCCTCCTATGCCACATAAACTAACTCAAAAACTCCTCTTGAGCGATTTCATACATAACAAATCTGGGTATTTCTGAAGTAAGCTAATTAATTTTATTTGGAAGAGATTTTAGCAAGGGGCTTTAGAGTGGGAAGAGACTGGGAGATATAGGGGTGGTTGATAGCTTATGGGGAGGATGTGGGTGGGTTAGTTAGACTTACTTCAGTCCGTACCTATTGGGGGTGAAGTAGATGGCTTACCTTGATCGTGTACTTGCTCTGACTAGTTTTCTGATGTAGTTTAGGCAGTCTTACTTGAATAATATGTTGAGTGGTTTTGGAACTCCTTGGCTCTCGGATTTTATACTGTTGGGCTGGAGGTTAAGAGAGGGGTTCTTGGGATTGACTTTTGGAGGCAGAGGGGTTGAGATAGGGTTTTTGGGGTTGATGGGAGGGGGATCTGAGGAACTACAGATGAGAAAGGGAGTACAGAGAGGTATGGAAGGAGTCAGAAGAGGTGTGGATGATGGAGGAGAGGGAGGTGGTAGGGTGAGGAGAGTGGTTTTTGGAATTTCTCATTTTTATTATTATTTAGTTGAATTTTGAGATAGAGGGGTTTTGGGGTTTTGGGGTTTTGGGG